TACAGTATATATGTAGTAATAAAATGTACCACAAAAGCAGTCACCCTGACGCTGGTAGACAACATTAAAATCTACAGTTTACTCAACATTGCTGGCATCATTTAGAAATGACCTAATGCATTGCAAAATGATGTGATATCCCATCCCCATCTTTTCTATATCTCTGGCTATTATAACCTAACCAATCTTTTGCCCACTCCTTCAGTACACTGCTGTCCACAACAAACGCCTCACCCCCTCCTCCAGCTCCCCCTGCCAGCCCCAGCCTGGCCAATATTTACGCAGTGGCAAGGCTCCCACACAGTCCGAGGGGACAGGAGGGGTGTGGGGAGGGGGTGGCTGACTGCCGTGCCTGAGCGCATGCTAAGAGATGATGGATGGCCTAGTCGATATGTTATGTCTTAAGAGCCTGATTTCCTGCCAGTCCAATCACTAACCCTCCAGAGCCCAGCTCAGCTGATTGGACAACCAGAATAATTTCGCAGGCTGTGAAAACACTGCTGCCATGCCTGTCTGTCAGGCCCAGTGACGAGACTCAGGGATTTTAAAGTGCAAGGGCCTCCCCAAGATTGGTTATGGTGAACGAAATAATAACAATAACCAGCAAGACTAAACAAAAGAGCCAGCACCTCCGGGAGAGAAGAATCATGTAGAATTATTGGAATGGAAACACTCCAATGTTTTTCTTTAATTATTACACACACCAGTACCACTTTTCGAAGAATTGGCATTTAGACTGTTTGTTAAAGACAGTTTGGATTAGGAAACCAAAAGGAGAAAGTCAACTCAAAATAAACATGAAATTGGCCTCCTAGTGCTGCTGCCTGAACATACAGGATATTGGATGCACTTTACATGCATGATATATTCTGTAAAATGCTGACAGTGAGAACAAAGGTTGGCTCAAGACCCACTGAGTTCCCTTTGGGGAACCGATACCTTCCTCTAGATTGGTGATTAGGGCCCGATGGAAGTAGGAAGCTCCAAATACATGTGACTTTGTAAGTGACCTCTATGGGATCAGCCGCGGTGTCCTGGTGGCCTTGGGGGATTACACGTGTTACGTTCAATAAAGTGAGGGCCCTCAGTGTCAAGGAGAAAGGCAAACACAACCATTAACCTCTCGCTTCGATTTCTCGATGTGCAGGCGCTGCATGGCAAAGCATTGGCTAATGCTGCGGTGAAAGCCTCTGATGAAACCTGTATGGAATTAATTAGTGACCATAACAAGAGAATTAAATGGGATTATAAATATTTAATTATAGAATAAAAAAATAGAAAGTAAATAATGTTCCTAAGGATCATTGATGAACAGACAGTTGATAAATGCAGCTCTGTATTTATCTTAAAGGGAGAGTTCACCCAAAAATGAATATTCACTCATTATCTACTCACCACATTGGAGGAGTAGTGTTTGAGTCCACAAAACACTTTTTGAGTTTCAGGGAGTTGCAAACAAATCATATACATTTGAAGTAAATGATGACCGATTCTTCAATCGCTGTTCAACCCTGAAACTCTATGCATGTAAACACATCATGTTGTGTATTTGTGGACATCCTCACTGATTGAAAATGATAAAAGATTGTCAGGCACATCAGATGTCTCACACACAGCTGCAGAGGCTGCACACACCGGACTCGCTCATGCACAGACAGGAACAGTTCAATGTGTGACCACTTACTTTGGAAATCTCTCCTTGAGCATCTTCATACATTGTCGGGTGGGTCTCAGCTGTTCAGCGCACCTCACTATCTCCTTATACTGAGCTCTGGACAGCCTCATCTCTGCCTTGTTTATCTTCTGTGTTTACCTGCACGAACAGGAACAGGTGGTCAGAGATGTAAACAACATGACAGCTGTCAAAATCAGCTGCATTGCTAAACAAACTTAGCTTAATGTTGCGACCAACGCGGACATAACAGCATAAGAATACATACAACGTAACGTCTCCTCTTGCTGCTTGACTATCTAACGCGACACGTTTCCGTTTATAACAAGATGAGCGATAAATAATGCGTCAAATGTGATGTTTACCGGTGTTTCCAGCCGCCTGTGGCTACTTCCCGTTTAGCTGCTTCCCGCTAGGAAGTTGAAGAGAAGACGTTCGTGTGAGCGGCGCGCTGATTGGTGCGTTAGTCCACGAGGCTGAGTATGCCGGCCTCTGATTGGTTATCGGTGTCCAGGGGGGGCGGTATCCAGCGGCTCACTGCCTCTCCAGCACATCTCTGTTCTCTGCAGCTTCGAGCGGTGAACAGGCGACACAGGCAGGAAGTAGAGATGGAAAACAGATGCTCTGGTTCACTTTCACACGAGAAATGTTCCAAGGAAAATGGAAATATTCTCTTAAATGTGTAAACTGTGCGGTGGAGGGAAGAAAGTGATGGAGAAGAGACGGAGAGAAAAGAGAGGCACAGACAGAGGGTGTGTGTGTGTGTGTGTGTGTGTGTGTG